CTTTATTTTATTTGGGATGTTTCAGTTTGGGGGATACTCGGCTTGACAGAGCAAGAAGGAGATGGTCTGGTTTCAGACCTCTCAAGTTCTTAAGTCTCCCAACCTTCCTAAAACTCCTCTTTTAAAATAATTACTTTCTGTGAAATATTTCTCTCTTCAGCTGCCCCATGAGAGTAAGATAGCAAAGCTCTCTTCTTTCCTCTACAAAATACTGAACAGATTTTCCATCAAAGTTCTGCTCTTGAGGTAAAGTTTTGATGTCTTTCTGCTGGGATCTGCAATATTAAGTGTTGGCTGCTATAAACTCAGAATAAGCTGACTGAGGCAGATCCTGCCTGTTCAGAACCTTGCCTGCAGGTTACCAGCCATGCTTCAGGACATCTATATGCGATGTGATGTGTTGTTGTTTCTGAACTGCTCCAGTTTGCTAAAAGACCCTGAAATTAATGATGTTTTAATAAAGTTGGTGTTAAATTGCTATTACTCGAGGTATTCTTCGAGCCATCACTGCTTACTCAGAAGAAAGGCAGAAGAGCAGCACACAATCTCCTTAGAGTCAGGCATCCCAATTTTTACTGCTTGCATGCAGCTGACTAGGTCACTCAATAGTGCTGCTAACATGCTATGTAAATAGAACCACAATAGCTATAGGAATAACCATTCACAGGTTTGTTTCTTTGCTTTGTTTTTCAGGATGTGATGACCGATATGCATAACTTCTACCTTCTGTTGGCCATCCTAAAATATTCTCGAGCACTGATTTGTTGTTTTTCTTTTTTCTCTGCAGTTTGTTTAGTCTGTTGAAATTTTGTGTATTTCATGTAAACTTGGAAGGGAAAATCTGCTCAGACATTGTGTGACCTCCCTCTAGTGGCTATGACTGAGAAATAAAAGTAGGGCTGTGATGAAGCGAACCCCAAGGTTAAGTGTTTGTATTAACCACGGTATGAAATGAAAGGAAGTAAACTTGGGAAGAAGACCTATACCACATCAAAATATGCCACAGAATTGCTGTGTTGTTGTCAAAGCTTAGTTGACTGCTCTTTCAGCCCTGAAAATACTTATCTTCACCACTTTCCATCTTCTCCCCCTATATCCTTACACATGACAATTGTATTGCGTTTGCGTGGCCAGGTTTTGGTAGCAGGGGGGCTAAAGGGGTGAGAAACTACCAGAAGCTTCCCCCATGTCCAGTAGAGCCAATGCCAGCCAGCTCCAGGATGGACCTGTCTCTGGCCAAGGCCGAGCCAATCAAGAATGATAGTAACATATCTGTGATAACGTATTTAAGAAGTAAAAAAGTTATTGGGCAGATGAAAATTGCAGCCAGAGAAGAGAGGAGTGAGAACATGTGAACAACTCTGCAGATAGCAAGGTCAGTGGAGAAAGAGGGGGAGGAGGTGCTCCAGGTGTCAGAGCAGAGGCTCCCCTTCAGTCTGTGGTGCAGACCACGATGGAGCAGCGTCCCCGTGCAGTCTGTGGAGGACCACAGAGGTGCAGAGATCCACCTGCAACCTGTGGAGGAGATCCATGCAGGAGCAGGTAGATGCCCAAAGGAGGCTGTGACCCCATGGGAGGCCCATGCTGGATCAGGGTTCTGTCGGGGACCTGCTGACCCATGGAGATAGGAGCCCATGCTGGAGTTGGTTTACCTGGTGGGACTTGTGGCCCTATCAGGGACCCACGCCAGAGCAGCCTGTGCTTGAAGGACTGCACCCTATGGAAGAGTGACTCATGTTGCAGCAGTTTGTGAAGAACTGTTGCCCACTGGAGAAGTTCATGAAGGACTGTATCCTGTGGGAGGAACCACATGGAAAGCAGGGGAAGGACTCCTCTCTCTGAGCAGAAGCAGAAAACAACTGACTGTAAGCCCCATTACCCAGGAGGAGGTAGAACTTGGGAAGGAAGGAGGAGTGAGGGAGTATGTTTTTAAGATTTATTTTACTTCTCATTCTCCTGCTCTGATTCTGGTAGCAATAAATTTAATTTATATCCCCACTTTGAGTCTGTCTTGCCAGTGATGGTAATGGGTAAGGGACCTCTTCCAGGCCTTACCTCAACTTATGAACCCTTTGTTATATTTTCTCTCCTCTGTCCAGTTGCAGAAGGGAGTGGGACAGTGGATTTTGTGGGTACCTGACATCCAACCAGGGTCAACCTACTACACAACCTAAGGACACTGGTGGACAGAAATCTGCATGTAATTAATTTTTTTTTTATTTTTTCCAATTCTGTTAGTTGTCCGAGTAAGATGTGGGAAAACGCTGCTGTGCCTGAAATCCTATCTGATTTTACTAACCACACACATTAATCTCTTAAAAGATGCTCTTTTCTCTTGCAAACCTTGTCCCAACAGACATTTAAAGAACAGGTAAGATCTGGAAAATGCAGCACCTTTATTCCATTTCTAGTAATTTTCCTTTAGTTCTCTGCAGTAAACATCAGTATCTTTGACAAAACATTATCTGTATGTATACCTAGCAATTGTATTCCTGTGTTTAAGATCTCGTTGACTGTTATTCAGTACCTTATCTGCACATTTGTCTTTTAGACACAAAAAGTTCCAAGGACACATGGCTGTGTTAGTATCTTTATAGAAAAAGATAGCAATGACAGTGTAGCAAGACAAAAGTTGTGGGTGGAAAACAGCCCGTTAAAAATTACAAAAATGCAAAGCTGCAAGAGCAGCTTTGCCCTTGTGTCTCCTTTTGGATCTCTCATATTTTGGCCTCCAAGTGTTAAGTGGAAGGTGAAATTTACAGACAGTGTGAGACAAGCCAACCCAAGCTGCATCTACAGAACATCCAAAAAAACCCTCTCTCATGAGTTTATGTTTCTGGCACAGCAAAAAATAATATGGCTGTTGCCATAAACAGAGGTATGCTGCAGCTATAACCAGAATTTTGTTACTTTATTTCACCCCCTGTCTATATTGGGTTTATCAAATAAAATAATAAGCCAAAAAGTGGGGGTTTGTCCTGGGGAAAATACAGAAAATATTACTTTTTCACAGAAAGCATTAAGCTAAAGATAACTCTTTGTAAAAGACAAAGCCCAGCAGTGATAGCAGGAGATAAATGCTTTAAATGACCTGGGACATGCATTACCATCCCAAACTAAAAACCTGTTCATAACAGATGGCAGTAAATGTGGTGTGTGGAAAGTCTTGGAAAGTGCTGACACAATGGCAAAGCAGAAGGATATCTGACAAAACAGGAACTACCCCAGGACATTCACAAAAATACTGGAAGGCACTGCCTTCCAGGAATGCAAAACTACTGACTTAACACTATTCAACACCTCCCAGATTGAGCAAACTAGGCATTTTTGTATGTTAATTAAAAAGTGGGGAAAGTGTAGCTCAATACAGGTTAAAAAAATGATTTTACAACATTTTCCTTCAAATATTTGCTTGAATGACTGAATTCAGGTTCAGAAGCTTTTCTGGGTCCTCTTCTTATAAATACAGTTTGTCTGAGAAGTGGTGCTGATGATCAAAGCTAAAATAAATTTTGGCATATGTTGCTCGCTTTACTTTTGTCCAGCTCTCATCTCTCATTCCATCGAGTTCAGCAGAGTTTTATCCCTGAAAACCAGGAGCAGGGAGAGCTGCCTCATGGGCAACAATACTGAGCACTGCCCTGGAAACAAGTTTGCTGCCTTTGGGTCTTAAGAACAGCCACCATCATCACTGCGCTGCTCGGTTGTGAAGACAGCAACAAGGAAGACAGGTCAGCCCCTCAGATGCCTTTAATTTCATGTCTTTCCTTAATGATGGAGGTTTGGAAGTAGGAAAAACACTGTTTCAGAGCCTGTACCTCACTCACAGGATTAAGGCAACACAACCTGCTTCTCCTCTAAACCCTTCCTGGTTTTTTGCCATTGCAATTCTAGTGCAAGCTGATCTGCAAGCATTGGCAGCCCACTACCTTTCCTCTGCGCATCAATACCATAGATTATGAAGACAAACATAGACAGTTTATACAAAATGACCCCCTGCATCCACATTTCTCTTACACACACATATAAGCCGACATTGGGCTGGAAATCTTGCCGCATAAAAGGCTGCCCGATTTGCCTTAACCTTCCAGGTTCCTTAACTGTGATTCCAGAGTCAAATCAATGAATCAGTTAAAACCTAGCTGCCAGTGGGCTAATCTCCACCAGCCCCCTGAAGCAGCCTGTGCTTCCACTTTGGCGTTTCTCTGTAGGCAAAGGGTCAACTTCTTTACACTTCTATGCCACTAACTGCTCCAACTTTTTTTCCTGCACTTTACAAGCTGTTGCACAGGATTCTGTTCTTTAGAAATCTTCCTTCCTGAAATATTCCCATCCTTGGGAATATTAATCTGCAAGTAACTTTTGCTGGGCTTTGGGGCCATGTATTTATGTTTGGGAAACATACAGGGCTTGTGGTGGGCAGGTGCATACCCTTACTCTGAGTGAAGATATCCAGCCCACCAGTGTGTGAGGGACTGGAAATTCCCAAATCCCTTTAGTGGTTTTGGAGAAGCAAGATGGTACAAGGAAGTACACGTGGTACTAGTGAGACAGTACGGCCAAAGAGAGTGGAAGTCAAGTGGATGCCAAGCTGCATCCCTGGGTCTTCATGGAGTAGGATAGCTGCTGCTAAGCGGGAAGGCATGCAATGTCCCTGAACCCATCACACTGCAAAACCCGGCACCCCTTGGACCTCCCTGCCCGGTCATGGGTGCTGTTTCCCCGAGAAGACAGCTCAGACAAGTGGATAAAGGTCCCAGAAATCAAAATCAAGCAGGCTCAGCATGCCTTCCTTGCTTGCCACTAGTGCTGCCAAAATGGGCTGTCACCAGCCTGGGTGTTTCTCCATGTGAAACACCAGGAGTGACAACAACGTGCTGGTGGGCACTGCCAAGAACCACAACTGGAAATACCTCCATGGTGAGCCGTGGTGTCCACCACATAAGGTCCAAGTGGTGGCAGGTGCTGGGGCAGTAGGTGAGGGGGGCAGATATCTCTGCTCAGCCCAGACTTGATTTCCTATCTGGGATCCTGTTGAGCATTACCCAGAGTGCTTGTCAGGGCTGTAGTTGTCCCTGGACAACACCAGCAGATCGAGGATGTGCTGGTCCTAGAGCACAAACTCCCCAAAAGGTCAGGTGACAGCCATGTACACAGATCCAAGGTAGATGGTCAGGTTATGTGACAGGGGTAGCTTGCACACATCTGGAGGGTGACCAGCTCCCAGGTGTTGTGCCTGGCCCCATCCCTGTGCAGTTTCCCCACTGCCCAAAGCTGTTTCAGCCATCAGTGTTTAAGATGGAGAGAAGCCAATGAGCAATTGTGAGTAGGATGAAAATTGTCACCTCTTGGCCCTGTACAGCAACAAGAATTTGTCTGACTGAACTCACAAGATGGCATGCAAGAACATTGTGCTCTGACATTCTGGTTTGTCTGTTTTCTTGTTTGTCCAGTAAGACAAGTTATCTCATCTGTCCTTGGAAGGGAAATGGCTGGTAAAGATAAGGGGGACTCCTCAGAAGAAAAGATTTTCTTTCAAGGTGAATTGCAACAATGGAGAAAACAAAACCCAACACCCCTCCCCTCCTTAAAAATGTATAAAGGCTCAAATTTGTATTTTGCCATCATAAATTTTCATTTCAGTGAGTATGCAAATGCAAAAATGTGTGTGGAGGGGTGAAGGTTTAACTAGAATAAGCTCAAGATTGTCAAGCTTTAAAGCAGACCTCAGAACCTGAAGAGAAGGAACTAAAACTCGGGAAAAAGAAAGAAGCTTATTTAAAACACAGTGCTCTGAATTAAGGCAATGCATGTCACCTGCTTGTGCTGTTAGGCTGTTGACAATCATGAGAGAGGTAAACTTCACCATCTGTGTTGAATCATCTGACTGATAATAAAGATATGGTCTCAGTTCTAGGAACTTCATTTAGTATGTTTTGGAGGTAGTCTTTCTGAGCTGATATTGACCAATAAACTGACTCTAGTGCTTTGGGAGAGTTGCAGTCCTGTATCAGAGGAGCTGAATTCTAGAGAGAGGTTTGGGAAACACCTGCTTCCCCCAGCGGGAGTGAACTGGACCTGTGGGGACACACTGGGTGCTGAGGACAGCCAACGGGAGAGCTGCTCTTCGGGAACTGCCAGTGCCCACCCCAGCACTTGTTCAGGCATGGTTCTGCCAGTTTCCACCCTGGCTGCCCAGTTTGCAAGGTTTGTCTCTCAGTATGTCTAACATAGCTTTAGGTGTGGTCAGATGAATTTGCTCGTAGATGAAAGCAGGGGACAGTTTCAGGTGGCCGGAATGGAGTTCCCCCCTAAAAAATATGAGGGCTGTTGGCAATTCAGCATCTGGGAATGTCAAGAAAAGTCTCTATTACTGCATCTGGACTGATATTTGGTTGGTTACATGCATGAGTTATCACAGACACTACCTGATGTTGGTATTTAGAAAGAAAAAAATTTTCCTTAAATGAGTCTTATCTAATTCTGTTCTCTGAGGAGTTGTGCTCTTTGAAGCCTCTTAAACTAATGTCTGATAGTTGAAAAGATAAATCAAGTGAGGGAGCCCAAGTTCATTTAGTAACTATGGCTTTCCAAAAAGACTTCTTGAAGACATACCCTTCCTTATCCTATCATCACTAAGTGCTGTTTTAGTAAGTAGCAAAAAATTGATTGTGAAGAAAAGTATTGCTCCTTTTCAGTATTTAAATTCTGGTGACTGTGGATTGCTATTTTGAGTTATATCTTCTCAGATGAACTATAATATCTGAATGGTGGCTAAAGGACAAGAGTAATTTTTTCAGATAATTCTACCATGAAGAAGGTGTTTTTGTGATTGCTGAGATGGTGTTGCAAAACCCTCACTTGAGCAAGTTTTTCAAAAGAGGAAGGTTTTGATGATGAGATTGCAACAGCTTTGTGGGCATGAGACTCAATAATAGTCACAGGAAAATCCCTGCTTTTTTAGTGCTTTATTCCTATGAGAACTTCTTGCTCAATCAGGAAGTTTCATTAAAATAATGGAGAATATGAACAAAAGAATGAGGATTAGTTACATGAGTAATGATGCAGACATAGGTACAAAATACTTTTTTTTTCTAGAGCGTGGCTTATTCAACTAACATCACTGTCTGGAATCATATTAAAAAACTTCTGCGTCTCTCTCTGTCTGACTTTTGAAGGGTGGAGACTAAGCTAAGGAAAATTAACAATTATACCAGGTGGAACAGAACCACATTAGTGTATGATGTATGTATTGTGGAGAAAGTTGTTCCAAGAGCCCATGTCTGCAAACAACAGTGGGATGGAGAGGTACCAAAATGATTTTAAATGATTAAGTTGTTGTGGTGAGAAGCTCGGTGCAAGCTAAAGTGTCTGAAAAAACCCCACAGATCTGTCTGTACAAGTAAATAGCCATGTAAAAACTTAAAAATAAGGAAATGGCTAATGTAATTGATTAATATGCTAGCAGTGCTACTCAGAATTTTCTGGTATTTCTCTTTTATCTCACACCCACATACAAGGCATGTGAACAAGTTGTGCTTTGAAAGCTAACAGCTCTAGTTTGGAAGTAAAGCTACTGCATCAGACAAACTGCAGTGAAGGACAACTCCCATCTCTCTTGAGATCATACTGGTTTGACTCTCAGAATCACCTGTCACATGCCTGCCATTACCCAAGACGTACTGTGGGCCACTCTTCCTATTTTTCTATCTACTATTCAGCTCCTAACTGAGGAACTGCCGCCAGGATGATGCAGACATAATTTCAAAGTCTAGGAGTGGTTTAACATTCCACTTATTTACAAACAAAACTATCCATCTTTTTTGTTCCTTTGTGATAATTGAGAAAAGTAATGAGTACATCAGCAACCTTTATCCTGCTTGGAGAGAGCTGAGGTGAGTCTGATTCTTTGCATTTAAACAGACACAATAAGCAACTGCCATGGATTCCCAGCCTCTGTGTCAGATTAGCAGCAAGAGAAAAAAACCCTCACTGAAAGATTCCATGTTGAGGCTACTTATGTCCCCAGTTGCCTGTGTTTGACAGAAAGCTGCTGCCCTGTGGTTCTGCGCCTACCCATTCAGATCAGAGAGCAGTCTGGATTTGTGGGCTTGCACAGGACTCTGTGGGCTACCCGCTCCAGTAATCAATTACCTCCTATTCACTCTGATGCAAAAGTTCATCTAGTTTTAAATCAGGCAGTGATGGCATGCCGTGTACCCAATGTCACTTTTGGTCTGGCACAAGAGCAACAGTGCCACAGTGCTCCTTTTCCACTCCCTTTCCCTCCAGGGCAGATGGCCCATAGCTGGTCCTCATTCTGTAGGCTTCTTGCAGAAACCAGGAATAAAAGCAGTTCTACTCTGGCACTTTCCCTGCGCATTCCCATCTTCCCTTACACCAAATGACTGCCAAGTGTCACTCGTGATCTCTATGGAGAGGTGTTAATGACCAAGGCACATCTCAGAGGTGGAACCATACTGTTCACAGGTGTCTAGGCGAATTTTGTGACAGCCAGAACAAGAGCAGGGAAGACAGGTGCATTTCTGTGGCTAATGGCTGGCACGGCTGCTAACCACCATGATCTCCTTGTAGGAGCAATTACTGCCCTTTCGTGGAAGCTCAGAAGGGCTGCTCTAGCATGGCAGGATGCATTTGCAGCCTTGTTCAGTAGCCAGAACATACCTGGGCACTCGTACAGGGCAGGGAGTGAGTGGGTGATTTCTGTGGCAGCCAGTTGCTACATGCAAACTTTCTCTTGCAGCTCATAGTCTGAGGGGATTGCTAAGTGCTCAACAACTCCTATATTTTGATTGGTAATACTCATTGCATTGCTGCAAAACTGAGACAGATGGCTCAGAAAAGTGATCCCCCAGTAGCCTAGTGTGTTCCCATACTTCCCTGCCATATGTGTAACTGAGTCAGAGATATGAATAGTGGAATGAAGTTATCGATGCTGGGCTTCGGGTGAGATGGAAAAATCAGTGTGTCTGGATGTGAGTGTTCTCATGCAGGTTTTTTTTGTGGTACCCAGGAACAAAGATACTGGATGAGTGCCAGAACCTGCTATCTCTTACATTTATCGTCAGGGAATGAAAGCAATAGGAAAGGGGAACGCTGGAAAACAGATTAAGTTGTCCCCACCACAACAGCAGTAGCTGTTGCACATACCCTATTAAAGCAGGTAAGAGACAATCCCTTGGGTATGTGTCCCAGGCTGCAGTAACAGTTCTGGTCTCATTGTTAACAGAGCAGAGAGGGCAGAGGCCAACTTGCCAAGAAGCTGTCAAGGGGGACTCCAGAACGGGTCTATTTTGGCAACAAAGAGCTTCTAGTGCTCAGCCGTCTTGTGTACACTCACTCTTAGTAAAGAGAGCAGAAGCAACAGTGCAATCACACACTGTTATTCCGCAGGCGAGCCTGTTCTGAAAAACCAGTTTAATCCAGTGCATTAGACTGGGAGTCAGGTGTCAGTGTTTCAGTAGTGGCTTTACCTTTGGTCTGCTTTAAGACACTGGGAATACCATTTCACTCTTTTTCTGCCCGCTTTTGTGAATGGAGAATAATAGCACTGATCTTCCTTGTAAAACTGTGTTGGCATTTCTGAACGAGAAGTGGTTCTCTTACTTCTTGTGACCTTAATTTTCCCACTTGAACAATGTGTAAGTTGCTAGTGACCAGCATAGGTGTATGTCAATGCACACATTGGTGCATACCTGGGGGATTATTATCACCTATGACTGCCTGTATCCCAACTCATGCCTATACTGTGACACTATTGTATGGAAGTGAGGACAGGACTTTGGCTTGGAAGAGAATTCAGTAAAGTTACCCTGAGGTACTCAATACCAGGGGCTGTGGATTCACACCTCTCCCAGTGCCATCAGAACCTACTTTCTGCTTTATATGAGCAGAGAGGGGAAAGGTGGCTCAGTGGTAATACTACTAGCCTGGAATGTGGCTGCTACCCTGCACTGTGGTGGTACATGCTTCTTCTGAGACCTGGGAAAAGTGATTTAGGGCCAGACACTTCAGACCTACATACCTTGAAAATACTTTCTCCTAATTTCCCTATGATTCTATTTCTTATCTGAAAAGTGACTTTCAAGAATTTTCTGTCATGCAGGAATGATGTGGGAGATAAGTGGCCTGAGACAAATACCAAGGAGAAGTTAAGACTGTTATAGGAATTGAAAGTCTTTAACCTTTAAGGGGGTAAGAAAAAGTCTTGGTCTTAATTGCATGACTTTGGGTAGTAAATATGCTATTTTAAGATTTGGGGACCAGTTTTTTTTCTTTTATCTGAACTGAGATTATCATATCTATCTGTGTGCTGGTTTAAAAATTAACCAGCAGGGGAAATGAACTCAACTCAAAAGAGAGATTGTAAGT